GTGCTGCCGGCCTCGGGAAGTTAAGTGTTTCAAAATATATGTTTTAAAAGACGCAAAAAAGGGGGAAGTGTCGTTACAAATTTTCCGTTTTTAGCCTTAGCAGATTCTTAATTTTACGCCTTAAGTATTCTGATGAAAATCGTAACTGAATACATTCCGTCTACAGGAAACAACACGAGAATACAAAAGGAAATAACCCGACGGGTAATCGGCTTTATTGTAATCGTAATATCCTCTAAGGCAGTTTTGTTAAAATGGGCGCCGACTCGTATGGCAAACCTTGAACACTGATAGTCCACTAACAGGGTCAACGACCATGTGCTGCAAAATAACCTCTAGATAACACAAGTAAGTTAGAAATAAAGTGGTAGGCAATGGGCACGTCGCGTGAGTAAACTATAAAACTCGTGAGTTAAAACATGTAGAACCTGTGAGTTAAAACATGTAGAACTCGTGAGTTAAAACATGTAAAACTCGTTGATAAAGTTGTGAAACTCACAAATAGATTTTAAAAAAAACTTTTTTTGGTTGTAGAACCAAACCATTCGAATACACAGACAAAACAGATATACAAATGTTTTTAAAAGAATTTTAATATTTAATAAATATTACGATGTACAATATGGCAGTGTAGTTCTAACAATGTCAAGAATATAAAATAAATAATTCAACTCAACAAAACAGGCAAAACAGGCATATACAGCATGTTAGACAATATGATGTCGATATACAATAAAACGAAATCATGTAAAACTATATCAACTTTTAACATTGCACATCAATCATAAAACGGTTTAATGAGGCAGTTTTATTGAAACTAAATCTAGAAGTTATTATCACATTGCGACCTAGAACTAGTGGCGGATACAAAGTCTGATTTTGGATTTTTTCTTCACAATATATCATTTCTTTCATATGCTAAGTCATATCTTCAAATCGATGTTTTCAAGTATTCATAGAATATTTGTATGTAAATAATATGGGGAATATTCCTTTTCAGTTTTGGGACGGACATCAACATACCATCAAATTAAATATAACTAACATTACTTAAACAAAACTATGATGACCGTCACTGACAACTCCAAAGATAACTAA